CAAGGGAGAGAATTGAATAACAGCAGATGGGGTAGAGAGGGAAGATGAGAGGGAAGGGGAGGGGGGATAGTAGGGGATAGGAAAGGTAGCAGAATACAACAGTCACTAATATGGCATTATGTAAAAATGTTTATGTGTAACYGATGTGATCCTGCAACTTGTATTTGGGGTAAAAATGGGAGTTCATAACCCACTTGAATCAAATGTATGAAAGATGTCATGAGCTTTGTAATGTTTTGAACAACCAATAAAAAAATCACATAGGTATCCAGTTATGATATTAAGCTACATAGTTTTGKTTTTTGCCAGTTTCTTTGAAGGCTGCATCAGAAATATGTTTCTGATGTTCTGTCTTCTTGATGATTTTCTGAGATCGTATTTTGTTCTGTAAAGATATCCATTCCCACATGGYTAAACATGGTTCTCTCCAAGGCTTTTTAGGCTAGTAGACTGTGAATCTTCTGTGGAGCTTCTCAGCATCCAGACCTTTCCCAGGGAGACTCTTTAACTGTCTTCCTACCTTTTCCTTCCCATTCCAGGGCATAGGTATTGACACAAGCAATCTGTGATCTCATACAAGGTTCTTTATTCAATCAATGCACATCTTTTCCATTTTCATCATGTCAGACTCTTATAAATTTCCTGGGCCTGTTATGTAAGTCACCTGAATCCTTTTTTGGAACTAGATATACTATAAATAAAGAAAATGAACACACTTCCTGGGAGAACAAGGATTCTGTTTACAAATGGCACAGCACTCCTATGCACAACTAGTGCATGATTTCCTGCTCATTACAATTTCATCATGCTTTACTATATTAGGTTCTTATTTAATCAATAAAGTTTCAACTCAGATCCAATGTTTCTCTTTTACCTAGCCACCTAGATGAAATTTTTTGAAAAAAAAATGGCTTTGAGGGGAGTACTCTAGGAAAGTGGCTATAAGTGGCTATGAGCCAAATGGATCTAGTTTAAGTCTCAGCTCTGCTACTACTAGATGTGAGACTTTGGACAAATTATTTTTCCTTTATTAGCCTCATTTTCTGTATCCCTATCTTCTGTGTAGAGTTGTTTAGATAAGATAAAATATATTAAACATTTAACATGACGTCTACCTAATTAGAGTATCCTGTAAACATTAATATTGAGATACTTTCTTTGAAATAATTTCAAAGCTTTGAATATATGGTGATAGCWGACTTTGAGTAATGATTAGGCACAAAACAGAAAGCAACTGGGGAGATGAGAGTCTTCACTGATGGGTCCCTTTTCACTTTGTCCAAATGTGATTTAAGAATCCTGAAGGATAACTGTGGATTCAGTCTGCAGATATCAGTACAAAAGAATGAATAACTTGAGTGTGTTCCTGGTAAGCAATTTAATTTCCCTTTACCTTACTTTCTCTTCTATAGAATGTTKATTCATGGGAAATGTATTTTGGGAGAACCCTTTTGACAGAGATTGTGTTTTCAGCCCTGCTTGTGTTGCTCTATAGACATGGACATGCTGGAAGCACATTCTCTCACATCTCATGTCCTGCTTTCAGTGGCATTCTCCCACAATGGCATGTCTGAGTTTCTGTCTCAAAGCCTCTCAGGAGAGGAAAAGTCATTTTCACAGAGTTTTAGTTTGAAATGAGCTGCATGTACCCTGGGACATAAAGCAGATGTGTTCTGCTTTAGAGAAGACTCTTCATCCACCAATCTACAGATTGTCCTGATAAGCCAGAGAGACCCTATCAGAGACCCTTAGAGATGCCACTGCCTGAAAGTTTTGGTTTAGCAGGAATGTCTATTGCTCCCTGGCCCCAGTGGCTACATATCAATTGATACTTACCCCTCAAAAAAGCATACCCTAGGGGCTGGGGTTGTGGCTCTGTGGTGGAATGCTTGCCTAGCATGTGTGAGGCACTGGGTTCGATTCTTAGCACCACATATAATAAAATAAAGGTATTGAGTCCATCTACAACTAAAAACATTTTTTAAACTGAATTTTTAAATGCAATTTTAAAAATGAATACCCCAAAGGGAAACAGAGGTCAATTAAGAAACAAAACATTATTAATACAGGGAAAGCATTAACTCTCCTTAAGTTGAAAAATTTAGAAATATTGGGGCTTCTCCCGAAGCAAGAACAGTGGATAATGATAGACTTGGGTGGTTTGAGAATTAGAATTCTGGGTATAAAGTGCTATACAAGTCACAGAGTGCYTGATACACCACAGACTCAGTGGTTATATGGAACTGAGGGAATGAAGGGAACAGTAAGAAAAAAGGCAGGCAGGACAGAAGGAAGAAATTAGAAAAAAAGCTAGGACTTAGTATATGTGGACTATGATCCATCACTTAAAGGACCCTAGACAAGTCTCTTAAACTGAGACTCAGTTTCTCACGTGGAAAACRGAAACAACATCTCACTGATTTGTTGTGAGAAAGAATTCAAATAACGTACTTACAAAAATATGTGGCTTGAAAGCAGCTGACAGTCATAAGACCTGGATTGTAGATTGGCATCGAATCAACACAATATAATTCATCAAATATTTACAGAGCCTTACTATTTCCTGGGATCGTATCCCTGGTGCTGGAAATGGATAAGAGAGAAATAAGAGGCAGCCTTGACCCTTGGATAGGGCAACTGGATTTGGAGGAAGACCAGATTCCATATCTTAGAATTTTTATTTATTTCACATACACTCATTATGGGTTCCCTAACCTCCACCCTAGTTGCATTGTCCCAGTCCTTGCTCACAGAAAACTTAGTCTATTAGGGGAGAAAAACTTATAAACCCAATATTCCAAACAGCATGCTAAATGAAACAATGGTGGTACATATTATGTGTAAGGAGTGAATCAGGAAGGGCTGATGAACTGCAGTAGAAGAGTTAGGTAAAAGTTCCTGAAGGGGGGGTGGGAATGTGTGGACTGAATTATGGAAAATAAATAGGAATTGCTACAGAAAGAAAAAAATCAGGGAAAGGGCATTTCAGACAGCAGGACATATGTCATGCAGAGGCAAATAGGAAATTGCTAGTTCTAGGTTCTGACATTCAGTAGCTTTYTTTAAACTTCACAAAATTTCCCCAACTTTCTCATCCCAGAAAATGAAGTTAGAGGATGGAAAGAGTAAACTTAGGTTATTTGTAAGGTGCTTTCCTAGCTGAATATGTCCATGTAAGAGCAGAAAGAAAAGTAGCAGCTTTGGAAACATCAAATGTGGTTTTTAGGGCATGAGATAGCAATCCCAACTTTTGTGACAATGAAAATAATAGGCAGCAACTAAAGTTACTGAGAAATTTTTATAGATATTCTTTCCACTAAGGAGATCACAGTCCAGCAGAGGGAGACAGATGCTAAATAAGATATAGGGATAGTTCCGACTTATACTCTGAGCRTAAATGTTTGACTTCATCGTGTTACAAAAGCAAGCACATACGACCATTGTTTTCCACTTTGAACTATTTCACATTTTATTACAAAAAAGGGTTTTCCTCAGATGATTTTGCCCAACCGTAGGAAGATGTAAGAATTTGGAACATGTGTAAGGTAGATTAGGCTAATGCATTTTTCAGCCTATCAAAATTTTCAGTTTACCATGGGTTTATCCTGGTGTAACCCCAYTCTAAGTGAAGGAGCATGTGTACTTGGAAATGGGTACTCACTCATTTGCAGAGTAAGGGCGAGGGGGCAGGAAAATAGAAATCCCTAGGACTTGTAGGTCAGGTGCAGAGTGGGTGACAGGATTTATCTCCCAGCCTAGAAATTAATGGTTCTTTTCATATTGCTTCACATTCTCCAAGRTGCAGCAAACATTTCCAGCCGCCAATTCTTCCGCACAGCAACAGGGCATCCTCTCTTCACCTGCAGCTCCTACACCCCAACTGTCTATTCCATTCCCTGCAGTTATCGCGAAAGAGGTCCCAAGGCTAACCAGAAGGCGTCTGACCCCGAGACAGCGTCGCTCAGACCGCAGCGCCCAATGAAGGGCTCCAGTCGTCATAGGAAGGGGTGACTGGGAAGGCGGGCTGTCCAATGTCTCCAGGGGTTGGACTCCAGGCAACTGGGCGGGACTCCAGTTACACTATAAGAGATGAGTGCCACTGTCCCAGCTGTAGTGTTGGACCTAGAGCCCCAGCCACAACCGTGGAGTTATCAGCTCGGAGCTTGCAAACCAGACCCAGGCAGATTTAAGAAGAGGAAAAGGTCTGATTTCTATTTGTTCGTGTATTTAGTTTCAATGAATGGAAGGCAGGGTGGGTCTGAGGGTGTGCGAGAGACTCGGGCTGACCCAGGGTCCTAGGTAAATCTGTAGGTACTTTCAGAGGCTGTGGGGGAAGGATCTAGCCTCTCCCGCGGGAGTCCAGCAGCTCCAGGCACCCAAACTCAAGCAGTTTCTCTCTTCCCCAGGAACACTTTTTTCCTGCTCCTTCCAGCCTTTGAGTATGCGGCTCCTCGAGAAACTCCGTTCCTCAGCTCCAGAGCCCGCCTTCTCTAACGTTCTCACCCCGGGTCGCATCCCCGAGTTCTGCATCCCGCCGCGGCTGTCCCTGCCGTGCCCACCAGAATCTCCCCCGGCCGGCGCCCTGCCCCGGCGGTGCGCCGCGGAACCGGACTTGTGGCCCCGCGCGGACGATGAGAGCGCGGTTCGCACCGACTGGGACCCGCGCTCACAGGCCGCRCTCTCGCTGCCTCACCTGCCCCGCGCGCTCACAGCCTACGGCTTCTGCACGCTACTGGARAGCCCGCACACGCGCCGCAAGGAGTCGCTCTTTCTCGGGGATCCCCGCGCCGCCGCGCTCCTGCAGCAGCCAGCTGCCAGACCCCGAGCGCACACCTACGGGGGCAACCGAGAAGGGGACGTCACCCGTTTGCCCCTGCGAACCCCGGACGCAGCTCCCGCCGCGGCACCTGGCTGTCCCTGTCCGCCTAGGGACGCGCTCTCCCCGAGGCCTGGCGGCCGCCGCCTCCTGCGCGCCCCTAACGGGCTGCTAAGTCGCGCGCTGCGGGCTCGGAGGAGTCGCGGCTTGGCTCGCGCACGCTCTGCCTCCAACCAGGACGGAGACGTGGAGCGCGGCTCCGCCTCTCAGCCCAACACCCCCGCGCCACCGTGTTCGCCCTCGTCCCTGGACCCACGGACTAAGCTCGTGGAAGCTGAGGGCACCGTAGCACTGGGCCGCTCTGGCTGCGCCTTGCGCCTGGCCGCCAACTACTGTCCCGGCAGCGGCCGCCTCCGCATCCGACTGCTGCGAGCCGAGGGCCTGGCCGGAGGTACCCCTGAGCCCCGGGCCCTTGGCTGCCGCATCAGCCTAGTTCTGCAGCCTACAGGCTCCACGCGCAAGCAACGCAGCTCAGTGCTCCGCCGGAGTCTCAAGGACGCCTTTGACCAGGACTTCTGTTTCGATGGGCTCATGGAAGACCAAGTGCGCCACCTGACTGTGCGCGTCAAGGCGGAGAAAAAGGGCCGCGGCCTGGAGCGGGGCCGCGTCCTGGGCCAGGGCGAGCTGCTGCTGGGCTCTCTCTTGCGTCTCTGAGGGCTCGGCCCCTCTCTTGGTTGCCTTTGGCATCTGGGGACACTAACAGCTGCTTGGCTCTTGGACACTGACAGCTATTTTGTACAAAATAAATATTATTTATATATTTTTCTATTTATGATCTTACCTCAATGTTTTAGTTCTTTATTTATTAGTAGAGAAGGAAAGAATAATGATTCCTCTATTTACAGTACTGAGTCCTTGTTACCAGACCATTTTTTTACATTCAAAGTAAGAGAGGGATGGCTTGGGACTGGAATAGAAAGAGAAAGGAAGTACACCCATCTGCTTTGTTTGTCCTTCCTTTCTGCTTTAAGAGAATGCTAAACGGTTTATTGATAAAACAAAAACAATTTTTCATTCAGAATCATGCCCAACGCTGAGATTCATATATAGCTTCATATACAGCTTTAGGTGATACTTGTGCATACGCATTACGGTGAGACACACGTTTAGGACAAGGACACCTTGTTGGGAGGAAAATTCCTCGCTGAGAAAAAACAGGATTCTTTTGAAAGTGAATTCTTCAAAAATTGCTGAGGAAGCCAGGCACAGTGGCCCACGCCTGTAATCCCAGTAATTTGGGAGACGGAGGTAGGAGGATCTCAAGTTAAAAGCCAGCCTCAGCAACTTAGTGAAGCTCTAAGCAACTTAGTGAGACCTTATCTCAAAATAAAAAGGGTGTGGCTCAGTGGTTAAGTGCCCCTCAGTTCAGTGGGGTGGGAGGGGGGATGCTGAAGAAGAGAAAAACCTGGGAAGTGAAGAATCTTCCAATGATCATGTGAGGAAAAGATACTCCTGGCATCTCTCTTCCTTCTCTGGAAGGCCCTGGGAAATCTTTCCTGCCTCTTCAAACAATTTCTTGTGGCATATTCCCATCTACCTATGTAGTTACATAGTAATTAGTTTTGCAGTAGGATGTCCCAGATTCATTGAAATGTAAATTCTCAGTTTCTTCAACACTAATTTCTACGAGTTTCTTTTCTTAAAAAATTGGTGATTATACATAATGTGAGATTCATTATGCCATATTTGCACATGCATATAACACAATTTGATAAATCGAATTCCCCAGTACTTCCCTTTCCCTCCCCATTTCTATCCCCTGATCTCCTACTATTTTAATTAGTGTATTCTAATTTTATATGGGATTCATTGTGGTGTACACAGGCATAGCATATTTGGTAGATTTGTTCCCCAGTACTTCCACATGCCTTCCCCACCTCCATCCTTCTTTGTCCTTTTCCTCTACTCTACTGATCTCTGTTGGAAACTAGTTTAAACTAGGAGGGTTTACCCTTGACTATTTGTATCTAGGGCATAGTGGAAAGCTGAGTAGGACCCAAATACAGTTTGGACTTCTTTTCTGTCACTGAACTACTAGTCTGAACCAGGGAAAATCAAGTCATCTCCCTGAACCTCATTTTCTTCAGTGACATGGGGGTAATCTCTGCCTCACAGAGTCTGTGAAGAGATGCCTTAGTCATTAAATGCCCCTTTAATGCAGGGGAAATAAGCCTAGTTGGAAAGAATGGAACTGCAGAATTAAGTAGGTGATCAAAAATGCCCCMAAAAACAAATACCTCTCTTCTTTCTTTCCAATTGTTTCTCCCTGGTTCTGGAGTGGAGTTGGCAGAACAGATATCCACCTTAAAATGAGGACTTAGAGGGGCCAGCAGTGGCAATATAGAGAACTTCAGGATTCCTGTGGTAAATTTCCCTACATGCAATAATTCGCACTCATTCTATATCAGAAAGCCTTTTAGCATAGTTGTTACCTAAATGATGTTCTGGGTACAAATTTGGTCAGATGAAATAAAAATCCTGGATTTAAATATATTTTGAAGTAGACAAATTAGCCCTTAAAAATCATCTAAGCACTTTTGAAATTGAGAAAACATCATGGAAATAATTTGTCCAAAGCCATGTAGCTAATATTCATATCTTGCCTGCATCCATGCAGGCAGTGGAAATGGGGTTGCCCTCTATGGAATAGGCTGGCTGAGAAATAAAAGGTAAGAAAAATAAAATGACAAAAAAACCCCACAGAACACAAAGTAGTTTTGAAGGTGGGGGCAGGATGGGCAAGCCAATCAGATGGAGCCTGTGCCTGCTTTATTTRTATCAGGAAATATCAAAGGCCTTCATAGAATGTTCTTCACCAAAAAAAGGTTAAAGGTGGGCTGTTCAGTTCCTAATGGGTTCAGTTTCTAATGCCCATTTCCAGAGCTACTATGGGGGCTCTTCCTAGAAGAGTGGAGATAAAGGTCAAGGTGTATTGGTTTCCCAAGGCCAAATCTAAATCTCCCTGGCTTAAGATCCTCATGTATTTCACAGATGGCTTCCTGCTCTCATAGCTCAACTCAGAGGAGAACCAAGTTGTTCTGACTTCCCCAGACAACAGACCTATCCTTTGTCCTCTTGACAACTGGTGATTTTAGCCCCTTCTTTGTGACTGGCACAATTCTAGGCCCAGAGGATGCAGCATGAACAAAATAGACAAGTAGATGGCCAAAAATTAGTCAAGTTCTATTCTTACAAATTATAGTAGATTATAGTAACTATCATGAAAACAACAAACTGCTAAGGAATGTGACAGAGACTATCTGGATGGAGAAATGGCAGTGGCAGATGYGCTCAGAAACAGAGTGGTCAGGTAAGATTTCTGTGAGACTTGAAAACAGAATCATTTACAAGAGGAACTGGATGTATTTAAATAACCCCTTAGTATATCTACATAACCCTGTAATAGGTTATATTTATAGATCCAAACTAGAATGCTTAGTTTTCCCCTCCTACATCTTCTCTCTTGTCTTACTTATTTTAATAAATGATACCAAATAGTTCTGTTATTCTTTCTGTCACTCAAGTCAAATGGAGTCCCACTTGGTGAGGTCCTTGATTCTTCTCACATTGCACTCTACTCAGTTTATTCTATTTCTATCTTCATTCAATACTAAAATGTAAATGTCACCTCTTCAAAAAGCCCTCGCTGGCCACTTTTAAAACAGAACCATCCTCATTATCCATTTACCTGTCTTTGTTTTCCTTCATTGTGCTGTCACTACCCAATGTCATATTATACAGTTACTTTGTTGTTTGTTTTCTCTTCCATGAGAATGTATGCTTTATAAAGACAGGGACTTTGTCCACTTACCTTTGCTTGATCTCCAATGCTTAAAACAATATCTCTTTTATATTAGACACTCAACAAATATTGTGCAAACTGAGCATTGAATGAAGATAGAAATAGAATAAACCAAGAAGAGTAGAAGGCCCAGGATCAAGCTTTGAGTAAGTCCAACATTTAGAAATTCAATGGAGGGGAAGAGGCCAATGTGCAGGTGATAGAAAAGCATTACCAGCAAGGTAGGGGAAAGACCAAGTGAGTGGGCAGCATAGAAGCCAAGATAGAAATTGTTCCAAGAAGAAGGGAATGCTAAAGCAATTTAAGACTGTCTGGGAGGTCAGGAGAAATGAGAACAGGAACACACTCAATGATGAAGGTCAGTAATGACTTTGACAAGAAGTTTTATGAGAGTAGATAAGACAGGAACCAGATAAGAATGGTCTAAAATGTGAATGGAAGATGAGAAAGTTCAGATAGAAAGTTCTGAAAAGGGGAAGAGAGAAAAAGGGCTGTAACTGGGAGAGAGTATGGTTTGTTTGGGTTTAATGTGAAAGAATCAAAGCATGTTGAAAATATGATAGGGCAAAGAAAGGTCCAAGAAGAACTGTAGAAGCAGTCTTTGGAAAGAAAGAAAGAGAGGATCCAGAACATAAGTGGGGARAAGCAGTTGCCCAGAACCCACATGCCATGTTCTGCCATGTACAACATCATTCTGCCGAGAGGTAGGTCACACTTGGAATCCTGGAGGGTTGGCCTTTAACCCTACTACTCCATGATTTCTCATCTCAGGCTGGAGCATGACCAGGACTCCCATAAGATTGAGGAAAGACTTTCCCAGAAGACCCCAATAACTTCTCTGTGYTTTCCTGGCCCAAATTGGGTTGCAATGCCAATCTGAACCAATCCCATCAAGGGAAAAGGTGTTAGTTTTAGAATTATTGGGCCTATTAACTTAGCTCAGTGGGAGGTCAACTCCTGCTGAGGCAGATGCTTCTTCCTGTTAGTCCACCTCAGCTGCTCTTGCTCATTTCCTATCAAAAATGCCTGGCTTCAAATATAGGGCTCTTTGGGGCCTATATTTGTGACCTTGGAGCAAATGCTTAACTGTCTTATTTAAAATACTGAGCATGAAGACAAGAAGGACTAAAGGAGAGAATTGCATTTAGTCATAGCCAGATTCCTAGTAACAAGGATAGGTTGCTTTCTGATTTCAAATTATAATTTGCATACAGATGAGCATGATTTTGTAGAATGGCTAAATTTATGCACACCTGTGATTGTAATCTTAAATCTGTACAAAGGGCAGTCTACTGGGAACATGTCTGGATGGCTGCACTAAATGACATAAACACAAAGAATGACATCTTTCCATTCCACTAGTTGTGCACTTCAGACTCCATCTGCTGTGTTCCAGAGAGAGGAACAACAGCTTGGCTAATTTGTGCTTTCAAAATCTAACCATCACCTCGAGGAGTTCTTATCATTTGTGAACATCAAAGCCTCACGTGGCCRGACACTACTATTTATCCTAACAGGGGAAATCCACATTTTATTTGGGCAAAAAGAATAGGATTTATTTTGCAGATTTAAATAATTTCTGATTTTAAAAAGAACCAGTATCTCCAGCTTCTRTCAAGAGGTAGTGCCTCCTTTGTCAGAACCTCCTGCACAGTTCTCTGAATCTCTGTCTTCCTCTTCCTATTGCAGAGCTAGGGTTCCACACCCTCCTCTCACCAGCTCAGACCACATTCTCCACCATTGTCACCTTTTTTGGTTATTGTTTTCAAATAATTCAGGCTTACAGAACAGTTGCTAATATTACAAACAAACTCGAATAGACTTTTCACCCAGACTTTCCAAATGTTAATATTTTATCATATTTGCTTTTATCATTATCTATCTAGGATCTTTTAAAAATGAGTTTAAA